GAGAGAGAGAGAGAGAGAGAGAGAGAGAGAGAGAGAGAGAGAGAGAGAGAGAGAGAGAGAGAGAGAGAGAGAGGTTTTTTTTTTTCAATAATCTTTGGTGCATCATTGTGTCCACGCCCTTTTTGCTGGAGGCAGTGTGCACTGTGTGTGGCTGGCTGGTTCCGATGGTAACCATTGTCGTGAAGGCCTTAACAGTTCTGGTTACATTACATGTAGCAACCCATCCAAATTCAGCACTTGTATCTGCTTGTATGCCTCCTTATTAATAGCATAAATCAATCTGTGGTGGCTTGTCCACCTATGTCATATGTGTTTCCACATCTCTGCTGTATGTCTTCTGCTGTGCAGCTTTGTCTGGACATTCTTGATACACCTCAAATGCAGAGACTGCGGGATATTCGGCAGCTGGGGGGGGTGCATTACGTCTTCAGCTCAGCCAACCACACCCGCCTGGAGCACTCCTTGGGAGTGTGCTACCTTGCTGGGGAGATGGTTCGACATCTTCGAGAGAAGCAGGGGCCAGAGATCGACATCAGTGACTTCGATGTCAATGCAGTCAAGATTGCAGGTGGGTTTCAGTGATGGCAAACTTGAAGGGTAAGTGGAAGGGGTGGCACTCTGGGCTAAGTGTTGGGGCTATTTATTTCGAGAATGTCTAATGTTTGTCCAGCTTGGCAGTTCAGTTGGGGTTGGGAAGCGAACTGAGAAATTGGATGTGCTGCACGTGCTGCATGGGGAGGTGGTGGCCACAGGACCCATTGATGCTTAGAAAGCATGAACCTAGTACAGGTAGTGGCAAGATTCTGTTGTCTTAGCACGAACATAGCATTTGTTGGCGCTGGCCCTAAGTGAACCAACATTGTGTGGACTAGTGATGGTGAAGGGAAGGCTATGGAATGGCTGCGTTCTAAGTTGTTGATGAGATGAGCAAGTTGGTGAGAGTGAGCACACTGCATTATGTGGCATTACATAATAAATGTAGCGGCAGACAGGGTTAGATGACCATGTAAGGGGCGGTCTACACCCCCTCCCAAATGTTAGGGGGTCCGGCCGAACATCAGGGGGATGAACTTTGGGAAGTTCGGCCCCCGCCACAATATATTTTTGGGTTTTCTTTTTTCATTCATAAAAAATAAAACAAGGAACTAAGCTATGTTCTTCACTCATGTATCTCACTCTACCTAACCTCTTGCTCAGTTCCGAGTACTATCGATTGTTGCAGTCTATCTATGCATACAAGCTGGGGTGCCCCTAAGAGTTATGGGTTGGCACCATACATGCAAGCACACGTCGTGCGGGCGGTTCCCTACGTGCGGCGCACGCGCCCAACTGATCCCGTGCAGCGCACAACGTGTGCGGAGAACGACCTGTCACGCCCCTCAGCAAAAAAAAAGGCCGGGGTCGAAACGGTGCGTTTGAGGCCCCCCGCCAAAACTATAAGCGAGATGAAAAAAAAAATTACAGGAGTACTGCCTCACCTTGCGCCTCCTCCCCTTCATCTATGTCTCCTCCTCCCTTCTCCTTTTTGTCTCCTCGTCGTCGTCCGCCTCCTGCCCTTCCTCATCCTCCTTGTATCCTCGTCCTTCCTCATCTTCCATGCCTCCTCGTCTCCAGGGCCTTCTCTATATCGAAGTGGCCTGCTGCTGCGTGCGGTAATGCAGTTCTGGGCCCTGGCCCAGAAGCTTCCGGTAGGCCCCACGAGGCTGAGCCTCAGTCCGAAGTAAACAGGCCGAGGGCCTGTGGTTGTGACGCGCAACCTCACGCCCTGTGTTTTTCTTTCGGATTGCTAAGGGTGCAAAAAGGGGTCCCGAAAAACAGCAAGATGGGATGTGCCAAGGATTTTTAGAAAATTGAGTGTGGGGATACAGACGGAACTGAAATCCCCCGTGTTGGTCTGATGCAGCGAGAGATCTGGCTGGTTTCGGCGAGGCTTGGAGTAGGCGCGTACGGGATTCACGACGTGGGGAAGTTTAAATTCAATCGAGGAAGTACTGTCGAACTTCCCACCGTGCCACGGCCCTGCGTTTGGAGTGAAATGGAGCGGGCACGTGTTTAGTGTCCCGCTTCGCACTAGCTCCCGACGCCGTACGCTACACAATTCTGAAACCGACGTGGACAGCTGTAATCGCGCGGCCCTTTGTGTTCATCCTCATTCCGTGTTCGGTAGTGGAACCCCTTCGATTGGTAGTGATCAAGTCGTTGGCAGTCACTACACAAGGTGTTAGGCCAATGGGGCGCTACTGCCGACCACGGGATGATGATGAACTTGTTGAATGATTCAATGAGTACGGCGGAAAATGTGTATCGTCGATGACAAACCCAGCGCCGACAAACCCAGAACACCGATTTTCAGGAGGGAAGTAATATTGCCCACCGATCTTTGCGACGGCTTCTTGTATGTCGCACTCACAGACTCGTGCCCTGTCCTCGTTATACGGGAAGGGGCGGAGAGGGGATACGGGAGGCTGGCGCCTAGTCGGGTTGAGCCCGTTAGTCCACATGGCAAATAATCGGGAATATTTTAACCATTCATCGCATGCATGCAATCCTAGCAATCCAATCGGAAAGGTAAGAAAGGAGGAACGAAGGGTTCGGGGAGAGAAAAAAAAAAGCTCATGTGTGGCGAGATGCAGCCGCTGGTTCGTGTGGCGAAATCGCATGAGTAGTGTGCTCCGGGCGGGTACTCGCAACACTTCTGCGGTAATCAACATTGCCCCTGCCATCGACTTGTCCTGACAATATCCTAATCAAGATGGGTTTCGTACCCGTTCCTTCCCATTCCTCATGCATTCACTGTGGAAGGTGCGAAAATAGTAATCGTGCAATTCCCCAACAAGGTGGCGTAAGGGAAAATCCTTAATGGTTGATACATGCGCATCCACCGTTCATAAGACAAACTTACTGGACCGGGGAAGTACCCAGGAAACTAATGGAAGAGTTGCGGAAGAGGTTAGTTCTCATACACACAATTACCATGCTCATTCCATCATACGCCAACAGTTGACTTATCATGCAGAATCATTCACACCAGCGAGAGGAAGAGGAGGAGAGAAGGAAAGTTACAAAGGTAGGCAGAGATATCAAGGGGGGGGGGGGGAAGAAGAGTCACACAGAGGTCCTGGAAAGACAAAGAAGGTCCGGGTGTGTCGGGTCATCCTCCACCACTGCGATCGGCATCCCGAGAAGAAGAGTCACTGTTACATGCACAGATATGTGATGTTTGTAATAACCGAGGAACTTGAATGTGACGAGAAGGACTGAAATGGACAATGCGGTGAGAGTAGAATCTCGACAGACAATGTGCATTCTCATACATACAAAAGTGCTGAATAGCGCAGGGAAGACTTAGATACAAAGACTGACCTGACAAGGACTGACCTTACACACGTAGTAGCAAGTAGCGAAACAGACTGCTAGAATGTTGATAACTAGTCCAACCGATGGTTGAACTCAGACCAAACATGCATCGTACCCCTYACCAGGTGTGAAGGAGCCTGGCGMTGCACACAGGAAGAAAGCGCCAGGTCCAGACATGCATAGAYGAAGAGGTAAGGATCAGACGAAAGGAGGGAGGAAGATGGGAGTGTCGTTAACACAAAGTCTTTGTCACCGATCYCAAATAACCCCTCGTTGCCATGTCTGAATCCCAAAAAGTCGAGTCTTGGATCCGATATCACCAAGCTCGGTATCTCTTCTCTCGCAGTCTGCAAATGCAGTGAAGTCAAGGGTTGAGAGGGAGAGAAGGAGATGGTG